AAAATTATAGTGTGAAAATGACACCTTCACAGAATCAAAACATTACAGAAAAAATACAGCATGGCACAGACTAATTTAAAATGCCAGGAAATGCCTTGATCTGAGTATGAGTCTATGAAACTACAGAGCTTTCAAGGTAAAGAAGTAATGGAAAAGCAAAACTTTTGATGGAACCTGGAAGAAAATCACTTTTGAGAAGCATGATATTAATCTTAAAATGGCTTTCTCTAGAAAACAGAAAAATAGAACACAATCTATACAATCATTCAGCACTTCATAAAGATGAAACTTTCTTTGAAACAGTGTTTGCATTAATTAAAAAAAGGACAAGTATACATTTTCATTGTCAAGTCCTAAACAAAACAACAGAAAGATATGCTTGTTGAACACTTAGGTTTTTCTAGTTCTCTCAAAGCAAATCTAGTAGGTTTGTTTTACATAGGCAATTTTCTTTTTTCTTTTCTTTTTTTCTTTTTTTGGCTGGGGATTGAACCCTGGGGCTCTTTACCACTGAGCTACATCCCTAGACCTTTTCATTTTATTTATTTATTTTAAAAATATTTATTATTTAGTTATAGGTGGACACAATATCTTTATTTTATTTTTATGTGGTGCTGAGGATTGAACCCAGTGTCCCATGCTAGGCAAGTGCTCTACCTTTGAGCCACAACCTCATTTTATTTTGAGAAAAGGTCTCAGTAAGTTATCAAGGCTGGCCTTGAACTCATGCTCCTCCTGCCTCAGCTTCTTGAACTTTTCTTGTCTATAGTCAAGAATCATAACTAAGATAACCAGAATCCATCAGCAAAATTGTATACAGGGCAAATTTCCTCTGAGTAAATACCTAAGTTTATATGTATATATATATATCTAAACTAAATCAAGATTATGTTCGATAGGAAGACAGATAGTAGAACACTAACAATATTCAAAATAGATGTTACTGTTGATTTTTAAGTAGAAGAAACATTAATTTGTAGAATCAATCTACAAGTCAGCAAAACATCATTCATTTTCATTTATATGCACTGTTTAAAAAATATCTTGGGGCTGGAGTTGTGGCTCAGTGGTAGAGCACTTGTCTGGCATATTTGAGGCACTGGGTTCAATCTTTAGCACCACATAAAAATAAATAAATAAAAATAAAGGTATTGTGTTCATTTACAACTAAAAAAAAAATGGAAAAAAATAACTTATTAAGGTGGGCACGGTGGCACATGTCTGAAATCCCAGTGGTTCAGAAGGCTGAGGCAGGAGGATCAAGAGTTCAAAGTCAGTCTCAGCAAAAGTGAGACCCTGTCTCTAAATAAAATACAAAATAGGGCTGGGGATGTGGCTCAATGGTTGACCGCCCATGTTCAATACCCAGTATCCCCCCAACCCCCCCCCAAAAACTTGTTAAAGACTAAAGATTTATTTCTTTGTTCAAACTAGCATCCAAAAGGATGCATAGTTTAATCAAAACTCACTTTAGTATATGAATTAAGGCTGTAGTATAATAATTAAGCCCTTTGTGCCAATATATAACCATTCACTTCAAGTTATAAACAAAATCAATTTAGAATTCTTAACAAAAACTAGCCAAATGGTACTAGTTTTTCTATTTGTTTGCACAGAAATAATAAAGTGTTGGTGTAACCTATATAAGAACTCATTTTAGTAATTCACTGATTAAAGGAAGAATTGGTGTTTTACTCATTATTTAAAATCAATATGAAGAAAGTCAGATTTGGGACTGGGAAAGATTATCCAAATCACTTAGTCCACCCCTGTTTATTCAGGGACCTCCATATCTACATTGTGAGAAATACTTCTGTGGCTGTCTCTCCCTCTGAAGATGACCTACATTCTCCTTTGAATACGAATTTCTTGCTTTACCCCGAAAGTTGCTCCCTCTCCAGATGGCCTATATTCTCCCTTAAATGCATATTTATTGCTTTACTCCCAAAGATGTCTTTCACTTGAGATAGTCTTCATTCTCCCTTGAATGTGTATTTGTTTTCCAAAAAAAAAAA